AGGGAGGGATAAGGGTGGGGAAGAAGAAAGGGGGTATTATGATTAGCATGTATAATGTGGGGGGTAGGGGAAAGGGGAGGGCTTTGCAACAGAGAGAAGACAAGTGGTGATTCTACAACATCTTACTATGCTGATGGACAGTGACTGTAATGGGGTTTGTTGGGGGGACTTGGGGTAGGGGAGAGCCTAGTAAACATAATGTTCTTCATGTAATTGTAGATTAATGATAACAAAATAAAATTAAATAAAATAAAAACTAATGTCCATGTAGAACAAATTTGGTCATTACCCTAAAAAGTCCCTAAATTCAATAATGTTCATATGTTTTAGAGCTCCTGGTTTGAAATAAAGATAAAAAATCCACCTAATATTATGCATGTAATAATTATAATTATTATATATACTCTACATAATTCTTTCAGATGTTGTACTGTATATATGTACAAATGCATTCATAGTATATTATGTATATCTCTATAGAGATATAAATGTTCACAACATACATTTTATTTCCTTCAAATATCTTCTGTGTAATAGAGTTACATGGGTTACACCCTGGGCCAGCTTAGATTATGATATAGTTGAGAAAATGCATAATTGAGAAGAGAAGTAGTTTTCTTGTTTGTCATTTAAAATATAAGTAAAATCAGGAAAATCAAGGCTTCCAAATGTCTTATCCAGTAGTCAAAATTACTTCATCTTTTTACAATGCCAGTAGTATGAATTTTCAATCAACTAGAAAAAATAAGTCTCTGTCAGAAGCCAAAATACACATCATCTGAAATAGTTGCCATGCATATAAATATACCAAATAAAGAAACAATTCCAAAGAAAGAATCAATAAGTAATGTCTCTTTTTCATTCATTATTAATCCTGTAATTTGGGTTAAATTAATCCTTATAAATATCAACTACCTAAATTTTTAATAATATTAAAAGGTTCTGACTTTCACTTCCTAATTACTCCTTATTTTTATTCATTTGTGGTGCCACCAAATACTAACGGCCTAACAGTGTTAATGTATAATGGTGACCAATAAGTTGGTTTAATCATCTTAAGTAGAGGCATAATTAATGACAGATTTTATCTTAAATGTTATTGTATATGTATTATAAAAGCTAACATGATATAAAGAGAGCTTAGTGTTTTCATAATACAAGCACATTATGCACACACCGTCCTTGGACATCATTCCATTCTCTCAGAAGCCTTTCATTTTCTTTCTGCAGGTGCTCATTTTTGGCTTGGTTTATTGCAATGATGTCCAGGCAGTCACAAATAAGTTCTCTAATGACCTCAGCTGGGTTTGCAACTTCCTCTAGATTGAAGGAACCAAGTCTGAACTAGGATGAAAGGAAAACATTATTAGTTTGGGGAGAATATCAAGATTAAGGTGGCCCAGTTATAAGTATACATAATTTCCTTGAGGGAATAAAAGCATAAGACTCAAATACAGAGCATTTACCAGATAAGAATACAGTATAAAAAACTGGAAACTTCCTACTTCCCTACTAAAGTTTATCATACAAATCAATAATTTTTATAACTGGTAAATCATTCTCGCACCTCCTAGCAGAAAAGAAAACAACATAAATAACATAGAAGCATTCTACCACCTGTTTGCTACAACCTAATTTAAGTCACTAGGCTCAGAATAAGAAAAAGGAATTATACACCAAGATTTTTTAATCTAGTAACAATGGAATAGTGGTATAATCTACTTCTGAAGAAAGCCAAATTTTGGTAATAGTTAAGAGAAATGTAGGGTTTTAGGAAACTGGGAGCACCATACAGTAATTATTCCTTTATCAAAATATAATAATTTATTGCTACAAATTACAAATAGTAATGTCAAGTTCAAGCTTTGGTACTTATACTAAAAAGTAGAACATAAAAATAAATACTCTATTAGGGGCACTTTAAAATAAAATAGCATAATACAGTTTTATTATAGTCATAGAATTTGATGAGAACACAGGTTCTCTTCATCTGTACGTAAAGATACTGAAAAACAGTGATTTAATAATAATAAACTATAATCTTACTATTAAAATTAAAGTTATTATGACTAAATATAAGATTTTTAAAATAATAATTATGTAGCTACTACGTATTGCAGTTGAAGAAAAACTCAGGCATAGCACAAATATAAACTCATCTAGTCATCAACAAAACAGAACTGTTATTATCTCCATTCTATAGATCAGTAAACTGAGGTTTAGAGTAGTTATATCCCATATATCGAAGGGATAAAGTCAAGATCCTACTATGCTATGCTGTTATGCTTTTTCCTCACATAAAAGGGTATCATAACTAAACAACTAGTAAGAGGAAGTACTAGGTTCATAACCTACACAATTCTGAAGAGAGATTCTAATGGCATTAAGTGGTAAAATTAAGAATAAAATCTGAGAGCTTTTTGTTTTTGTTCTTTTTTTTACCCTCCTAGGTCAGTAATTTATATTATGGCATTCGTCTAATAGGAATATTTCTAAAATATCTTGCTTTAAAAGAGTATTTCTATAAATATGTTATACACTGATTGAGAAATATTTAACAGTGGTTGATAATTCTGAGACAAATCCCTAATAGTCAATTTATAAATAAAACTAAATGTCACTTAAGTAAAAATCCAGTGTTGGCAATCTGAGTGGCATTTTATAAGACATTTCAGTTAGTCCCTATAGTTTAGGATCATCTGTATGTTTAACCCTACAGAGTAAAATTTTCTGGATGAATTATGTTAAAGATTTACTTTAAATTTTCAGAAAGAAACTGAGGTAGATGTCTTACTTATTATTACAGCAACCTGCCAAAAGGCTGAAATACTGATACTTCTTAGATATCGAGAAACATTTATTTATACTTGCTTAAAATATAAAGGAAAACAAAGGATATTTATATTCTCAGTATTATAGGAACATTTTAGAGGATTCAATAGTACAACTCTAGCCACAATGAAATTGTATATATATTTTTGAAACCCAAGTAGGTATAATGTCTGTTTAATCATTTGTTATATTCCACTTCTTCCTGTTTCTTAACAAGAAAGAGAATCCTAGGAAGGAAAATTAATATTTATTTCAGTGAGTACACCCACTTGTATTAGGCTTATTTACATAACCTAAATTCAGCAATTTGAGCCATCTTAACCAGGAAAAAAGAAAGGACTTCATAAAAGTCCAAGAAAATTTCATTCAGTTGAAATTGTTTCAAACTGTCACATCTGATTTATTTTTACTTCTCTTAAACTTAGAATCAAATGGCCAAAAAGCGTTTGCAATTTTCTTGTATTATGAAATATGAATATATTTAACAAGCATAAAGTTCATGTAAGAAACTTTAATCTATGTAAAGAATATAAATTAAAAGTAAATTTGAGCATTTACCTTTTGAAGCTCTTAATGTAAATAAACACACAAAAAGATATAGATCACCTGTAGAGTATTACCTTTTTGAGTTGACACAAAGAAGAAGAAAAATTAGGCTTATTTTCTTTTTAGACAACAGATTGCATTATCAGGAAAACAAACTCACAAAGTGATTCTGTATTTTCTCATTATCTCAATTGTCAGGCAGCTTTGACTAAGACGGTCATTTTTAGAAAGGAAAGAGTTTTTCATGGCTTGAAAGTCTGAACAATGCCAAATGTGTAGCCTGATGAATTCATGCCACACTTTGATCTTGAATAAAGTAATCAGTAAAATACAGAGAGAAACACAAGCCCCCTACTCTTCTATCTTAGATGGCAAAGGAAGCGCCCAATTCTTAATCACTAGTAACAAGCAACTTCTTTCAAAATTTCATTCAAATATATATATTCAAAATTCCAAGAGATTTCTTAGTTTTCTTGGCTTTTCAATAAAGAATAGACTTAAAATGTCATTTCGTCTGAGGAGTAGGCAACTATTTTCAGCTTCTGTTTTCTAATAATACTCACTAGTTTCCGGTCCCTTAACAGGTGTGAACATCTATTATTCCAAACAATAAAAATAACTGAGAAGTATCCAGACATTCAGTCCAAGAAAAGAGTATCACTTGAAATATTCAGATTATTTTTTAGGAAAATTCTGGAATGTATGAGAGAATGACTCTGCCGGGCAATCCTGCTGTGTACACATGGCTCAAAGCCAAAGCAGGAAACACCCTTCCATTTTCTGTGCTGCTGTTCCAAGTTGTCCACATCGTTATAGAAACAAGAGGGCACATGCCTCCATACAATGGACTTAAGTAAGTGACTGATACCTGGCCAAATGAATTGAGAAGTCTAAAATATTTCTATCCTCTAACTCTATATCCAGCCTATCCTATACTGCCCCTCACACAAATAGCAGCAATTTAGAAAAGTATTGTTTTTAAAAGCAGCAAATTCACACAAGAGTATGGCTGGGTCCACTTTGAAATCTTCTACTTTAGATTTCTGTTAGACATGTAAGGCAATTAGCACAACTGTTCATTATTCATTAGATCTGCAATTTCAAAATAATCTACAATATAAAATCAAGACTTCATTTCAAATGGTATACCAGATTCAGAAACCACAAATTAGAGACATTTGAAAACATGACTCTTCAGAAGCATGGGCAAAAGTGAGTTTCTTTTTGTAGTCAGTTCTCAAGATCCTATGGAGAATCAAGTATACACAGACCTATACTAAGCATTCAGTCTATAACCTAAGATATTAAGCTATGTGTTTATTTGTCTATGTAAAAAATTGAGAATGATAACTTCTTAAATTTTGATAATCATAGTAGTTTGTACTAGTCGTTGTCATAGTAAAATAATATCATAGCTAGTAAAATAATATCATTGTTTATCTGCTCTGCATTAAAACTTTTCAGTTTCAGAAAGCACATCCATTTTCTTTAGCCAGGGCTTTGTTTATTCTGGATATCTGTTTGTTAATTCCTCAAGACCAAGATTAAATCCCAGAGCCCTTTCTCCAATACTTCAAAGCCAGGTCAAGTTCTCTTTAACTATCAGTCTACTTTGACCTCTCTATTCTTAATACTTCAGAGTTTGTCTCACAATTTTTCACTCAATTTCATCTTTCTTATACTTTTCTCTGTTTTTTCAGAAAGGCAATGTTGCCCTTTCAATTTCCAGCTCTTTGAGATCAGAGGTCATATATTATATTTCTTTCACAGTCTCCACAGTATCTTGAACAGCTCTAGACATATAGTCAGTGCTCAATAAAGACCTGAATTTTTCTATTGAAATGATCCTTATTATGTAAAAGGGATGTAATTATAATGGAGCAGGTAAAGAAAAGAATTGAAACAGTGATGCTTTGAATGCAAATTAAGAAATAGTTTAAGCAGTTAATTTTATTGAACATTTTTATTTTATTGACTAGTATGGCATGGTAAAAAAATTGCATAGTAGCACTTGATACTATAATCATACATAGGTTTAATAAAACCTAAACAGATTTGCTTTTTAAAGAATGTGTAGAGATAAAGTTATGTACTCAGTTATCAGGTTCTTTGGAACGGTCAAACAGATAAAAAATATATATAAGTAAATATATATTACTTATAAATATTAAATATAAAAATACATTAGTAAAGTATACAAAATAAACACTATGGATAACTACTAACCAAATCCTGGGGAATTGTTTGTGGCCATTCTCAATATTCTGGAAGAGGATGTTTATCAAGTTGAGAGTTGATATTCTGCTTAAAACACATCAACTAAAGGGTTTGAGTTTTGATACATTATCAAAGCAGTTCTAATTACCTTGCAGAGTCAATCTTTGTTACAGTCCTGGGAACCAAGATGGAAAAGGAGGAATACAGATATTTTGATGTTATCACTAGGCAAATAATGGTCAACTAGAAACTCATTTTTTTGTCATTTATGTGTTTTTAAATTTATTTGTAATCAGGAAAATGTATGGCTATATCTAGATATGTGTACACTAAAAAAGTAAAGACTGCCCATTCTAGCTTATAACATAAAATATTTTGCCTATTGTAGATAAATACATAGTTGCATATACAGTTGTTGTAATAAATAGTTGTAAATTTCTAGTAATAGAGGAAATCAAATAATATAATAAAAAAGACATTAACAGTTATGTTAATCAACTGTATTCTGAATCAGCTATACTTTTATAAGATCTTCGTATCATGCAACCTTTGGTTTAATGGCCTGCTGAAATGTTTTATTTTAGATTTAAATGAAGAACATTACAAATAAACCTCCTAAAGCAGTAACACAGCTGGCAGCTGGTTACATTTATCTTCTAAGGTAGCTAGAACTGAGAAGAGAATACCAGTAAGGACTTTCTAAAGAGATAAGAGAATTATATTGTGAGACTATTAATCTCACCTTTCCA